TCCTGGTTGCAGTCATCAGGCCTGACGGTGGAGGTTCAGCAGTCCATCCAGGACCTCCCCTTCGCCAGCCTGGCACTGTTCATGGACAGACAGCAAGTTACATGACCTGAAAGACTCTGTGCATTATTCGATTACGCCATCACCCAGCAGGCCAGAGATCACGCTAGATTTGGCAGAGCTGTGTTGCAATCAACACATCTATGAACTCCTACCCACTTCAGGTACTGCTTGGGAGTCACTTAAAATGGAATGGACATGAGCAATCACTCAAAGAAGAAAAAACGGTTATTAATCTTTCATAACTGTTGTTCTTCAAGATGTGTTGCTCATTTCCATTCCACGACCCACCCTCCTTCCCCTCTGTCGGAGTTCTGGCAAGAAGGATCTGAGGGAGGGGAGAGCCGCTGGCGCCTCTTGTACCATCACATACGTGCACCATTCCAGAGGGCGCCAGAGCCGGTCCCCTATAGATACTACTGAGAGAAAAACTTCCAGCACTGGTTCATGGGACGAGCACACACACCTACAATGGAATGGACATGAGCAACACATCTCAAAGAACAACAGTTCCGAAAGGTTAGTAACCATTTTTTTTTATTTGAGCAGAAGTTCAGAGAAAGTTTGGAGAGGAATCCAAACATTGCTTATCTGATTACATCTGATCCGATCTTTTTGAAGTGCATCTAAAATTAGTGTTTATCCATTACTGAATTCTCTAAAATATGCAGCTGTATGTAATAAGCAGACAGGACTATAAATTTCTCATATCTGGTGCTGGTCTGTAAATGGAAGACAGCCAAAGTGATTCTTGAAACTACAGGATTCCTTTTAAATATGTTCTTATTAGGTGAGAGAAAGACATGCAGCCAAGCTTCTAGGTGTGGTCCTGCTTTATTAATGCTTCCTCATTTCTTGGAGTGAATATAAATGTGCTGGGGGGGTGAAGGGTTTTCTTCTACACTTAAGTTTATGGAATCATAGAATATCATAGAATCATAGAATATCAGGGTTGGAAGGGACCTCAGGAGGTCATCTAGTCCAACCCCCTGCTCACAGCAGGACCAATCGACAGTTAGATTTTTGCCCCAAATCTCTAAATGGCCCCCTCAAGGATTGAACTCACAACCCTGGGTTTAGGAGGCCAACGCTCAAACCACTGAGCACTGATATGGCTTCAAAATGAGTAAAGAGAAGCTTTTAGCATTGTCAGTATTTTCTCATTCTCAAAGGCAACATGAGCAAACGTCTCGTTCACTTTTCTTTGTCAAGTTGTATAAGGGGTAGAAAGTATGTGTATTAATTTTCAAGGAGTGTGTATTAGTGATCACTTTAATGCTGCTGTGTTAAATGAAGTTTGACAGACATCTGAAGCAAGCAGACACTTTCTTATGACAAATCTCCGATGTAGAAAGGAAAAGATATTTATTTATTTAGTGCTTCCAGTGATTCAGATTAAGCTTTTGCCTTTTTTTCCTTTTCCTTCCGCATGCTTTCATCAGTTATTTTGGCTCTGGACTTTCAAAGCATTATTTTCATTGTCCTGGTATATAGTCTCCATTAAGCCTAGGTATTGTTCATCTAGGTTGCTATTGAAAAGTCTGCACTGACCAACAGCTGTCCCACAATAGTGTGTGAGATAGCTAATATTTCCCTATGCTTAAAATAGAAAATAACTGTGTATCTCAGATACCATTGTATACTAACTTGATAAATCTCGCCTTTGTAATGGTAATCACTGTACTCTTATTTTCTTTTTTGTTGTTTGGTTGCAATTTCAATAGTTTATGAATATCAACAATATTGAGATTCAGGACTTCCACCAGAGAGATTTTTGTGCAAAGCGTTGGGCTGTGGAAAAGAGAGGGAAGAATCCTACATTTATCCTCAAATCTTGGTTATGATTCGTCGCTTGTGTCACCAAGCCAGTATCACATATGTCCTGACTTTTTAGACCATTCAAAAGTCACAAAGTGACCTCGTTGTTAAACTGCACAGAGTCTATAGTTAGACAAACTAAGTATTAATAATAGCTTCTCTATCCTGAAAATATAACTCATACCAATTTACATCGTGTTCTGTACATTTTGAAGAATGTGTTAGAATCTCACAGACAGAAATAACTTTCCTGTTTTTCTTAGCATTACACTTCAAGGCATGCCATTTTGCAAGACATATAGAATATGACAAATACCTTAAGTAAGATGATAGGTCACAAAGAGATATATAGTGGGAAAGAATGAAGAATGCATATTCTTAGAAGCACAAGTCTGGGCTGAGATCACCTACAGGCATTTTTATTTGACTGTGATTTGAACCTGAACATTTCCCAATTCACCAGCATAAATTTATTTTCCTTCACAATCTAGAGAACTTGATCCACATGGTAGAACCAGTCTTTAATAACTGTGTACAATGTAGGAATAAAACTATTATTATGTACTTTTGAATTTATTTAACAAAGCAGACTGTTAGAAAGCCATACATTGACAAGTATTTTAATAATGTTTTGATACTGCATTTTATTTTTTCCAACCCAGACATCTGCTTGGTCTTTTTATCTGGTTTCTAGGTCTTTGAAGAAGAACATCACATCTTGTATCTGGACCATGGTGGAGTCATTGTGGCCATCAAAGACACTTCTATCCCTCTGAAAATACTCAAGTAATGCTGCAGTCAGTTATAGTAGGGTTATTACATATTTAAGACCTCAAACGTACTTCAGAATTAATCAGTAATGAGCTTTTTAATAAGTTTGTGTAAGAAATCCAGGTGGAGCCACTTTAATTTAACATTCGTTAAACCAACAAAATGCAGGTGGACATTTTATTAAAGCATTCCCAGTGGAGTTGTTGGTAAAGTAGTTTGCTACGTCATTAATAATAACACTTGTTTTGCATCAGTATGGCCCTGTTCATTCAAAAGCTTCCTAAAGTGGACTGCAGTACAAACTATAGGTCCTGCCATGAGGGCAGGGGACTGGACTCGATGACCTCTCGAGGTCCCTTCCAGCCCTAGAATCTATGGATCTATGAATCTATACACAGAGGTCACTTAATCCACCACTAAAATCCAGTAACTATTTTAACAGCATACACTAACATTGCCCTGCAGGTTGGGGTAGGGAGTAAACTTATAGCTGCAGAATGCGTTTAGGTAAGCAGTGTACAGTTGTCCATATCGGAATTTTGGAATAGCGTGCAGAGCTATCATCTCTAGAATTATGCAAAGAGTAATGTATATGTACTGAATGCAAGTGATCAATGCTTCAATTTTACATAATGACAATCACACGTATATGAGCCACGTTTGTGATCAGTTGTCTGGAGAGAGTGTATATGAGGAATTAGGGTTAAATATAGGGAAAGCAAAGAGATTTCTTGTTTTTTATCATTTAGAGGGAGATTATTTCTGTTTTCTTTTCTTTTTGGGAAGGAAATAGCAGAGCCTCACACTAATTTCTCTCTCTCTCTCTCTCTCTCTCTCTCTCTCTACTCACACACACACACACACACACACACACACACACACACACAC